CTGCTTTAGAAGGGTTGACATTCAGTCACCTGATACACGGCGAAGCATGCACCTCAGATGCGTCTGCACTATACACTGACTATACTGTGATACTGTCTTTGACTTGATTGGAAACGTTTGCATCGGTAACCACGTTGACCGGTAATCACGCTATCGATAGACATATATGTCGGTGTCATGGTAGTGTTATTCAAACGGAGGGTGAAGGTGAGCATTTTCTTTTTTCAATTGCCCATGGCTATGTAGAAATTTAATATTCCAATTTGGAAGGGGTGAAAAAGGAGACATGCGACAGCCAACATTTGCAGATTCCGATGTATAATAAATATTTACACACAATTAGATGTTTTTGGGTGCACGTATTTGAAACCTTGGCATAAAAACGTGAACCAATAAACCTTGCCACTTTGACGTGTTTTCTGATTTACTCAAAAAATCGTTATCTGTTCAGATAACGATATATGAGTTCATCCTAGTTGAATTAGATCTTTGTGTTCAACTCGGGGATTGATTAAAACCGTACCGTTGCGATGCCAGTAGAAAGACAATAATGTTTATCACGTAGCTAATTAAGATTGTAGCTATTGTATTTATTTATTTATAATTTATTTAAATTATTTAACCACACCAGTGCCTTCGTTACATTGCATTGTGACATTTACAAAAAAAAGAATATACGTTACAGTGAAATAAAAAATATAAAAAAAAAACATTTGTAACCCATATGCTGCGTACTGGTTGTATGGGCTGCCTAGACGTAGAGACATAAACTCGATTGGCAGATAACACTTCCATGAAGTGATACTCGACTCTGCCCAAAGAACGCACACAAGATGTTACTCACAAGTGGTACGTAGCTCCGTCTCAGGTCGAGTTGTCAACTCGTAGAGCATAACATTATTTAGCAGCAATGCAATATAGCATCATCCAATGATTCTTAGTCATTGGCATGACCACGCCATCAACTGGTCGTACATTTCCTGGGACAACCTTGCAAATATGCACTATATAACAGAGACAGATATATAGGAAATAAAGAGCGACACGCTGCCATTATTGCGTGATTCAGGATGTAAAGAAATGGCGATGTACGCAATAATTGCGGAGACCTCAGACTGCCGAATAATTAAATATTTGTGATGTGGTAACTTGAGAAGAATGAAAAATACAGTTAGCGCGTTGTAAAGTGCTACGAAGGGATACGCAGAATTAAGGCACTTCGGCGTAGATGTTTAGGAATTTTAGCGAAAGTAGCGGATAACTCTTACACTGTAGATAAACCAGGCTCTACCCAAATGAATACATACTTGAAGAACTCACAGATATACAACTTTATTGCCAGTCGGCCGGACAGCAAGGTGCCCGGCTTCCAACTCCCAACTCCAATTAAAATTGCTTACCGCTCTTGCAAATATGTAGACTTGTGTTGTATGTTATCCACCAATAGCTGTAAGCCATTGACGGATTACGTAGTTGTTATGTCTTAAATCTCATGGGTAAATGCTTTCTACAGTGTATTAAAGAAATTAATGTTGGTTTACCATTCTGTGGAATATATTGCTGTATATTATTTAATATATTAACAAACATCGTTGGAAAGTAACATGCGTGATTCACGAGCAAACGATATGCGACAACACACAAATTGGCAAACGTCCAGATGAAAATGACGGGGATTTCTTTAACCTGAAAAATTAATGGTGAGTTTCTTGTTTAAACTATCCAAACAAATGCGGTGAAACATTGAATATTGATGAGTCACACACACAATAAAATGTTCGTATGTTAGTGCAGTGACCTCGAGTCATTCCACGTTATCTAGTTATCTTCAGATAAACAGGGCTAATGAAAATGTGTCGAATAAATAACGGTATTATAATTATAAACATATGTATAAACAATATGTATTTATCATTCATAATACGCCCAAAAGATGCACCTACGTGCTTTGCAAATAACCCAATCACGGGCCACATCGCTTGGGTGATATTATGTTATGATATACGATGGGAACTGGGGCAGATAAGTCGGTTAATCATTGGTAGGTGACTCAGTGGAACATTTGCCATCGCATCGGTCAATTACTCCGTTTTACCTAGTGTACAATACATTTGAAACATGTCGGAGTCAGACGATCAAATCGATGTTCGGCATCGTCCTTCATTGGAAAAGATTAACGATGACGATGAAGGATCGGAAGATGCTGTGGCGATGAAAAGACAGCTCAGTCTATTCAACAGTATAACTTTAATTATAGGTTCCATTATCGGATCAGGAATATTTATTTCACCTAAAGGTGTTCTAGGAGTACAGTGGTTCTGTTGGTGGTGCTTGATTGTATGGAGTCTATGCGGTGTCATAGCCACAATGGGCGGTATGTGTTACGCTGAACTGGGATCATCTATCAGGAAAGGCGGAGGCGAATATACATACCTTAACGAGGCATTTGGTGAAATCCTAGCATTTTTGATGCTGTGGGTGAATTTTGTGATTGTAACACCTGGTAATACTGCTATCATCGCACAAACATTCGCTACGTATGCTATAGTACCATTTTATGCGGACTGTGACCCTCCGCCATGGGCGATAACACTGGTAGCCGAGGCATGTATCGGTAAGTGTTCAAACACTCCAGGCATATTTTCACTTCAAAGATAACAAGGAGAAACGTTCAATATATTTACTCATAGAATGTGTAAATTTATCGTGGTGTTGTGATTTTAAGAATCATGAACTACGATAGAGGCTTATAGCTGAATAGCAGCCTGTGTATTTTAGTTTGGATGATGCAATCATGATGCTCTCTTTATGAATGACTTGCAAAAAAACATGAAAGTCTCATTGAATGCACGCTTTTATTTGCCGTAATTGCAAATCTGCTTTCTCTCATTTATAAATTCTAGTTCTTGTGTTCGCCTATAATTGTTACAGTGTGCGTGGATCTACGGCTGTGCAGGATGTCTTCACTGTAGCTAAAGTGGGAGGTTTGATGATAATTATTGTCGGCGGTATTGTGTTCCTTTTTATGGGTAAGCTAATGATAGTCAATAGATTTAACTCATTACTGTACGTTTTGATTCTATACAAGTTTTAGTTAGTAGGTAATTACAAAATGTGGCACCCCAACTGTTTAATGAATAAGTAAATAGTTAACTTCAACAAATGTAGCTAGTTATTTTCTAGTATGAGGTTATTTGTGTTTTGCATAGAAGCATTGCTCGTTAAATGTACTCAAAACAGTATTGTAGATAGATTGTTAATATAGCTTTGTTCTACCATAACAAGTTGACATCTGGTATTATTACAGGATATACGGAATATTTAGAAGATGCATTTAAGGGTCCTGGTACCAATGTATTCCGCCTGTCTTTGGCGTTTTATAATGGCTTGTTCGCATATGTTGGATGGTACGTGTCAGTTGTCACTCTATTGTCAATATAACAATATTTGATTCTCGAATGTCCTTTTAATATGTTATAATTATTTTCCAGGGCGAGCATGAATAATATGGCGGAAGAAATTGTAAATCCTCGCAGGTCTGTGGCAGAATCAAAAATATTGTCTCGTATATTGTTTTTAAATATATTAACGCATTGGTATTACTCCTCTAGAGTCAATGAATGACATGTGACTGACTTACCTAGTTACGCATTGCCTTTCAGAAATTTTCCTATTGCGGCGATCTCGTCAATGACTATCATCACCGTGATCTACGTGATGACCAACATAGCCTACTTCACCATACTCTCACCACAGGAAATGCTGGCATCTGATGCAGTTGCGATCGTAAGTTGTTCTTACTCAACTGAATGATATTTAACTTGTGAAGGAGTTTTAGTGACGTCACCAAAACTATTGCACGTAATCGTCTTACCACATTTGGACTGATCACATGTCTTGCTTATATGGTGTAACAAATAGTGAGCGTGAACATTCTCACTAAATCACTAAATCTATTGTTTTCTGCCAATCGAACCATTTAGGATTCGAATTGCAACATAATTTCAATTTCTGACCATGGTTCCTTGTTAAAGGTTAAACTTTGTGTAAAACTTCATATGCCAAATTTCAGAAATATCTACTAGTTCATTGTTACCTTTTAAGTGATATGTGATAAATATATTCAAATTGGTGGACATACTAGTATATTACCACGTTTTCAAATAAAACAATCCGATGGTCTAATGATTTTTTTACTTTCCAGACATGGGGAGAGTTAGCATTGGGCCCGTTAGCATGGCTGATGCCCGTGGCTGTTGCTATGTCAACATTTGGCGCTGTCAATGGCACTGCTTTATCTAGCTCAAGGTAGGAAAAATAATAGAACTAGTTATGATGTTTAACGGTTCGTTTGTAGTTAGTCTACGTTTCTGTGTCATTCTATCCTATTAATAGTGTATGTCTGTTTCCATAGATACGTGTTTGTTGGTGCTAGAGATAGATTGCTGCCAACACTATTAAGTATGATACATATCAATTATCTGACGCCGCTACCAACTCTTATTGCCATGGTAATAATAATTATATATTTTTTCTGTTTCGGATTCATATGCCAGCTTGTCAAAACAAAAGAAATATCGATATGGCTTCAAAGAAACCTTACAAATGACGTGTGTGTTTTTTCGCAGATGTTAATTACTGGCTTACTATGTCTATACCAAGACACGAGCAGTTTAATCAATTATACTGGTTTCTCGTATTGGTTGTTTGTGGGTATCGTCACTACTGGTTTAATGTGGTTACGCTACAAAAGACCACATATGGAGAGGCCATTCAAGGTATCACGCACTACATGAAATGTCTTAATTGATAGCTGTATTTGCATTAGCTTCTAGTAGTAACTGTGTAATGTATATATCTTTTTATTTTCAGGTACCCATTATAATTCCTGATAGTATTCACACTTATTTGTTATTCCTTGGTTTTATCTCTATTTTTGCGGCGCCATTCGAAGCAGTTATTGGAACAATTATTATACTGACGGGAATACCAATCTATTTTTACGGAGTTGTGTGGAAAAACAAACCAACGTGGCTGAGACGTTTTCTCGGTAAGTAGGGTTTCTTATTTTAGACGTAGATGTTGGTCTAAATAGGTTTTAAAATGTTGACGTTTTATTTGTAAAAAAAGGATGAGCAAACGGTGACCATTTTGAATTTTTGCACTACGTGCCTACATGCTTCTCTCGACCGAGGTTATTGTCTCAACATTTACTTTAACGTTTACTCTTAATGCCGTCACTAGGTTTCAAAATATCAAAGCCACACAAATTATTTACGGGGACAATAACTTTACAATAACTTATTTAATTAAAGTTGTGTGTGTATTTCAGACGGGTCTTTAGAGTTTCTACAAAGACTGATGTTTGTGGTACAACAGGAAAAAGCAACCTATTGAGGATCAGTTTCCGGAATATTGATATCCTTTAAATGCGTCATAGCCGAGGGTAAATCCATTCCCCAACTGAAGTGACAGAAATCCAGTCCAGTCAGTTTTCGAAATGTGGTTATAGGTTTATCAACATTACGTAACAAACTATAGTACTTTATGAGACAGCATTGGTCTCGTGTATTTATTTTGTTGTATCTAAATACAATTAAACATACACATTTGAAAATATATTGTATTGCAATTTTAAGTCTCATTATTTCCATTAATTACTATTTGCATATCAATGCTGGCAATGACATGAAAAAGATAAAGCTATGCTGTATTTAGAAAATGTTATTTTGTAAGAGTGTAATGTACATTATTAAATATTCACTATCATACATAAAATAGTATTTAAGGTGACACGTTATATTAACCATATTAACACCTCAACACAATTAGTTTAAAAGCCTGGTTTTGTTTTTAAATCAGTTAATAATGTTGAATTAGGGCATCAATGCTACTTCAATTTCGTGGTATTATTCCGGCCAATATTTCAATTCTCTTCCAAAAAATCAGCGGGACAAACGCAATTCAGTTAACTTCAGGAGGAAGCTGGACAGTTTTGCAATGATGGAATATCTTATAAGTTTGCATAAATACATTTACAGTAAAAATATAACAAGCTGTTCCTATTTGACGTCAAAATAATTCAAATAACACCTATATCGATACCATTACAATGTGCAGCAGTCAATTATTAGACAAACAAAGAGGTACAATGTCACGGATAGTGATTATTTTGAGATCAATGCTCATACAAAAGTATTTATTAATGGGAAATTCAGAATAGTGGCTTATTTTTGATTTGCTGAAGTAAATGCGACATGGTACCAAGACATGCAACTTTTCGTAAAATTTCAGCCTGCATGCGGCAAATAATTTATTTTCATAAACAACACGCCGATGGCGTAGTTGAGCTACACATAACTAGGATCTAAGTATACATGATATTTTTGGTAAAAAGGATGTAATTTTTTTGCATTTTGAAAAGGGAGCGTCTTCGGATTCTTTCAAGGCCAGGGTAGGGACGGACAGGGATGTCATTTTGCTCATTCATTTTTCGATTAATTATGTTTATTCTTTTCAATCTCGTAGGGCTTAACTATATTTATTCTTTTCAATCTCGTAGGGCCATCATGTATATATATGAATTTCCACTCGAATAGTGAACAATATTACGATAAAGAAAGTGCGCAGTTATACACTTTCAAAAACACTTCCTATTCTATATTATCTGTTTATGAACACTTAAATGACCATCACAATAAAGTAAGCACTGTAGTATTAAATTACACAATTAATTACGATAAGAAATTAGCATATTCTATTTGAGTAAAATAAACAATGAACCCTGTTGTGGGGTGCTTATATAACCATTTTAACGAAGCATATTCATATAAATATAAATATCAACAAGTAGATGTTATGAATTTATTGTAAAGCTGAATTCTGTTATTTCAGTGAATGATAACAAATGCATTCGTGTTTAAAATACCAATCACGTCATTAAAAAAATGCAAAGTTTGCCTGTATCAGTAATCAGGTGAGCATGCGCAAATTCGATGACAGTCCCACTTTAACTTTAACCTTGAACCTGTAACCTCAATCTTCAACTTTGTTTTTAATATTTCGGTGAAGCATTGCTTCAAATAATTTTAGATTGGAAATCAGGACATAATAATATATAAAGGAAAAATACACGTATGTCTCATAATTGAAATTATAACTATTTTTCTATTATAATTATTTCACTGATTTATAACAAACACAGCCAAAGCATGATATTACATTATATACTAAATAGTGTGAAAATCACACGACCTTGACCTGATCTTAGCCTTGGCGATCCAAGTCGGGCACAACTAACCACTATCAGCTAAACTATATCACTGTCCCTCAATTGACGGTATAATTGAGTGACGGTAACTGTATATAATGTCTGCAAGGTTTGGTGCTATAATCCGGCGTAGTTATACTATATTATCACCAAGTTTAACTACTTCTACTGTTATATTCTGTGTTACAAACTCTGTAAATGTAGACAGTTGTTGGGCGTATGTTTTAAAAGGCATAGATTGCTGACCGAGATTTGCTGTCCTCGTATATTCATAGGGCAAACATGATTTTAAAAGTTTTGTGACATGTTTAATTTGATAAATATGTGTATATGTGAAGATATCATCGGTTTTATTACTCCGTCGCTGTAAAATATCAGCAAATATCATTAGTGTATAGCTAGGACTTTAGACATTCGTGTCGTAAAGCCCGGTGCATGATAACGCACGAGATAACGTCGATGTGATGATAACAGCGATGTGATGATAACAGTGACACGGGGCGTGTTAGTGTATCATTATCCATGTCAACGAGTAAAATGTTCCATATACACACATACAAAGTGTATGATAAAGCATTTATGAAATCCATGTTCTTTCGTGGCTCTTGGTCGCAGGGTATCCGCCATACAACTTGGAGATCGTATCTAGTTCACAGAGAATAATATCAAACGTCATCTACAATCCTTGGATGTAAACAAGGGGTACTAGTATTTACGAATTTGAAGCCCACGCCTTTGACCTGTTGATATATGATTGACTGTATGTCAGTCAGGGGCGGATCTAGGATTCTGGAATAGGGGGGGAGATAAGTTGGTCGAAGGCCTAGTTCGCGAGCGCCGATGGCGTGAAGTCCTTGCGGGGGTTATAAATAGGGGGACCGCGGCCTCCTCGGGCCCCTAAATCCGCCTCTGTGTCTTGTGTATACGCGTTTCACATCGTATCGAACATGTAAGAAAAATGGATTTTTACGTCTATATGGGCATTTCTAATGAGTCTTTCGAGAGTGAATCCATCAATGTGAAATGAGCTCTGATACGAACAATCCTCTTATTTGTTTTCAATTCAAGATGATAAGGGCATATAATACAAGTGAACCAGAGGATGACTATAACGTGTATTGCAGATACTTTAGACCCCAGTACAACAACTGATTTGTACGTCACACGCATATTTCAAAAATAGACCTAAGATGGAGATTACGCACACGTGACCTGTAATTGGACTAAAACTTTGTTTAAATACACATTCAAATTTATACAAATAGTGACTGTTAAATGGGACTTTGAGAAAAGTTTTGTATAAAATAATAATAAAAACAGTCAAAGCCAAAAATAGCGTTTTGTATTATAATGATATCGCTACAGCAAATTTACCTTTAGAATGATCTATCACATATATCACTATATTTTGATTTATATTCAATTGATAGTTCACCCTTGGAATACCTATGTAAGCGCGCCATTACCGGGAATTTGGCGCCTCGGGCTGTTTTTGTTGCCAGTAGTCTGTCAAATGTGTGTGACTAGGGTGTATTATAGGTATATTATATAAATGTATGTGTGCCAGTTGCGACACTCCATATTGCCCCATTTTGTAAAAAATAATAAAAAATAAAAATTGTACTACAATACAAACTATCGTTAATTATAAAATTATAAAATAACTCTCCGCCGAGATTAACTATGATATTCACCATCTCCTCTCTCCTAAGAAGTGAACTGATAGCTACTATACCACTTCCATTACTGGAAGGAAAAGACAACGATGTGTTAGTGCATATAATATATGAGAGATATGACATACATTATTCCATTGTATGCTGCATGGAACTACACGACAGTTTGAATGTATGTTGGGTTAACTAAAATCATTATCCAAATTTGCATTAAACCGCTTTTGAAAGCTAAAAGTTATTTAAAAAATAAATTGAAAATATAAGAATATAAAAAAAACAGTACCTGAAAACCTGGTAGCAATTCATAACGTTATTCAGTACTATAGACGATTACTGTGTTCCTTAAGGCTCATAGAAGAGACGAATAGTGGAATTCATATTAGTATTTCAATGGAAGGAGGAAAAACTAATACTGGAACACTAATAATTAGAATATGTCATAAAAATAATCATAACATGCAAGACTATTGATGCATATTGTGATAAACTGTTGTCTATAATTAACTCTCTGCCACGATATGGTATTCATCTCTTCCTATACAATTGCTATAACGTGTAGCTGTTTGCAAACAACCGTCTACCCTTGAGCCTTTGCGTTTTGCGCATGCCTTTTTATGACCCAATTCTTCTTGTGAGTGCGCTGGTAACGACCCTCCCCCGCTCGTAAAACCGATTATTTATTAATCTGTCATATTTGCCCTGATTTTTAAAATATTGATTGATACATTCATAAAACAAAGTTTTATGTCATATTTACGATCATAATGTTTATAATGTGCCAGTGTGGCCTCCTTGAACTAATTGAAAACACAGCCAAAACGTTAGATTAATACATTTGGTCCCAACGCATATCACTTTTAATGTAGTTAATATTACAAATATTTAAAATACTTTTAACTAACTTTTAAACATAATTTTCCTACTTACTAAAACAATATTGGTCCTATTTATTTGGAATATATAACGATTTACTGAATAACGCATGTAACTAAATGGCAGTAGTGTGTTCTTAATGGCCATGTACATTACAAATGCAAACTTAAAATATACACAATATTATATAAAAACAGTTGCAGCAAGAAAACATATATACCCTCCCCAGACAATACAATAATATGAATCATCATGTTGTTCCCCAGTATAGAAAAAATATTCAATTGAGCGACTTCTAAATATATAGCGAGATCTACATCTTAACATCAGCATCTGCCAACATTTCATATTGATTGCTAACTCAGTGTTCAAGTTGAAGAGCCAACACAAATCATAATATTATTTATTCCATTGTTCAGTAATATCAGTTATGAAATATATATAATAATTAAAGATTCACAAAGAATGCACATATGTCACATAATCATGTATGATTATAATACCGTGCTCTGTATTGACACGGCACACTCTCATTGTGTGATTATTACCACGTGCAGCCCGTTAATGCTTGAACATACAAACAATTGTGTTTCATTGCCATAGTTTTAATCAACAACATTCAATGTGTACGGCTCTCTTAAACGACAAATCTGCTGTGATTCTTTCACGTTATCTGAATGTCGTATTACACAAGTTGATTACAAGCGTATTCGACGCGCTAAAACAAAATGTTCGATTTTTACTCTTTTCACTTTTTCGAAATTTCGGAGTTTTATAATTGAATAAAAAGACAGTGCGCCGCACTATATTTCCTAAATAAAAAAAATGCGATATGTACATAGTAAAATCGCAATCAATTATGGTTGTCTTGTTTGTATACGTCGAAGAATGGAGATCCCAACTGCGTTATGTACAGACACGTGAATATCTCTGAAACGTAATACTTCAATAGGTTTCCACCTCTTGTTGCACAACGTTCATTAACCGTTGAAAGAACATCATCATCTCATCTACAAGAAAACAACAATACGATGGGACAAAATGAATCCATGATATGTTATTTTTGTTTTGCATACGAGGTATTATTCTGTATATTACAGATGTAAATATTTACCAAGAAAACGTCTTAGCAACGCTGGTTTGCTTTTCCACATAACTGCATAAATATAGACAGGTATTCCTGTTAATATTATGATTGTTCCAATCGCCGCTTCAAGTGGCGCAACAAAGATAGACAAGACCACCAGAAAATAACAAATGAGAGCGAACAATATCGGGATTGCAATGGGCACCTGTATAACAATAACAATATGAAATACAATTCAAATATCACACACAAATACACACAATATAATATAATGTCAAAATTACTTGAGAATGTCAGTATAAAACAGTCTTAGATATTATACATACTGTCGCTATAAGATTTGATGAACTGCAGGTGTAACTTGGAATATTGGTAAACTTCTTATTCTCATCAATACTAATACCTCAATTTACACACTTTAATAACACCATTGTGATATTATTTTGCACATCACTAAATATACTACGTATACCAGCCATAGTAGTGTCTAGATTACACAGTCATACAATACCTTGAATGGTCGGTGAAGATTGGGTTGTTTATAACGCAGCCAAAGCAAACCTGTAGTGACGATACCCACAAACAGCCAATAGGAGAAACCAATGTAAGTGACTAAACTCCCAGTGTCTTTATATAGACATAATGTACAAGTGATAACCATCTGTAAATAAATTATCACATTTATGACTCATTATTTAACACTATTTACTGCCATTGCTAGGTGCATTTAGTAATAAGTTAGTACTATATTGATGCTCACCGTGACAATAAGACTCGGCATAGGCGTGAGAAACTTAGTGTGTATCATACTTAGTAATGTCGGGAGTAGACCATCTCTAGCTCCAACATAGACGTATCTGTTGACGTAATCATACCAATCATAATTAATAAATATGTATGTGTTTTAATAGCATTGGCAGTCCGAGTCATTTGTAGTTGCAATGTGTGGATATTACTCAAGTGTATTAGATTGGAATTTCAATTCATCAAAAACGTTACTAACGCATACTTTACAGTATAGGCTTTGGTATTAGAAATTAATATTCTATAATTTCAAACCTTGAATTCGCCAAAACGCCTCCGTTAAGAGAACCGAATGTAGACAGCGCAACAGTAATTGGAATCAACCAACTCGCACTACCTAAAATTTTATCACCCCATGTCTATCAAAAGAAAATGACAACAAAAATTACATCATATTAAATTGAAAAATATTGATAATGTATAAAATTTAGCTTTAGTAACTTGTAATATAACTCACCACAGCAACTGCGTTAGAAGATAATAATTCTTGTGGCGATAGGATTGTGAAGTACGAGACATTCGTCAGTACGTAAATAATGGTGATTATTAACATGGACGAGATTATTGCAATGGGGAAATTTCTGAAACAAACAAAGACATAATTGTCATTGAAATTCAAACTATAGTTAAATATATTTGTGAATAAGGATCATGTGCGGTGGCGTGTGTCTATGACTTGGACGTGAGTCAGTAAGTCGGATGGTGGACAGACTACTTTAATAACTCCATGAAACATTCTGAAAAGTACTAAATCGACAAGGCCCGTTTCACAATATACTATATGAGTTTGAATTCAGCTGTTATATGCTTTCCGGCGTTATTTAGGATTTGAATAAAAATATAATATTCCGAGAGAAGGAGATAAATACTTCACGATAAACGTCTATAAATATACATGAATATAAAGCATGTTGCCCACCTGTGTGGATTTATAATTTCTTCGGCCATGTTGTTCATATTTGACCTGAAATCATATGACATGAATTGACTGATTACACTACCGTACTATCACACGATACTTATATGTATGAATAATTAGCAAAATGAACATCAGTATTCAAAAATATTAATCGTGATTGTGAATGAATCGGTTTCGTAATTGGAATATTGTTGTAATACATACCAACCAATATATGCAAACAGTCCATTGTAAAATGCCAGTGAAAGTCGAAATATGTTAGTGCCAGGACCCGTGAATGGATCTTCTATATTTTCCGTTCTGCCTGAAATTAAACGATATATTTGTGTATTGGTACATGCTCAAAATGTACTCATTATTATGAATGTAATGTGCTTGTTTTGTTTTTCATTTCAATTTAGTGATTAACTTACCCATTACCAGGAAAGCAATACCGCCACATATAATTATACCCAAACCAGCAATTTTACCAATAGTAAAAATATCTTGAATTGATGTTACACCCCGCACGCTGTAGCAGTTGTATGAATATACTAGGACTGTTGAAATAAACAGAAGAAAAAGGTTGTTACACTCATTATTGACTGGGAGCTCACGTAAGTGTAACAAGGATGCAAGAATAGGAGGGTTATGTGCGGCAAGAATGAAATAATTGTTGAAAGTCGGTGCCATTTCTTTGGCAAATTGTCAAGAGCCTACATACATACATACATACAGAATGTTCTAATCACTCTAATATAATATATTATAATTAGAAATCTAATGTTATAAATGAGGAATACAATATGCAATAAATGTAAAACACTGTATAAAAAATCTTTCTAGAATAAAACGCACTTCAAACACAGTATTTAAGTTGCGGGTCTGTTCTAAACTGCCATGAATATTAATAACTACGATTTTCAAAGGTGCTAATTCATGTCAACAGGTGCTCTAATATTCCAGAGATATGAGGTCACACTGTACCTATTCTCGTGAA